TGTTAAAGGTCATAATGAGTCCATCAGATACAAGCTCAGAGTTTTTACCTTTGACGAGGCCGAACTGTCCGATGTGGTAGCCGTGATCTGACGTGTAGATGATGTAGGTGTTCTCCAGCTCGCCGGTTTCCACCAGCATGTTGTACAGCTGAGACAGACAGAGGAGACCTGTTAGATATTGTTTAGTTTTTGATCCTGCAGGTATGAGCAGGAACGTGTGTGTGTGTGTGTACCTTCTCCATGCTGTCGTCCACAGACAGCAGCGTCTGCAGTCGTTTCCTCTGCAGCACGTTGGTGAACTCCATGTGGATCGGCTTCATGGGGCCGGTGTAACGCATGATCCAGTGTTTGTCCAGGTTGGGAGCGTAGTTATAACTGGGAGTGCTGAGGAGGAGAGAGGAGGAGGAGAGGAAGGTGAGGTCCACATTGAGGAGAAGACATCTGATAACGTGTATGAAAGTAAAGTTACAGGTGAGAAGAGGAACTACGCAGTGCCTCGTTTCTCTCTACATGGCTCTGGCAGCTGTTAGCCATTAGCCAGGAGCTAGCTAGGGCACGACTTTAGGTGTTGGGGTTCAGTATGTTGCTCAAAAACACGGAGCAGGAGGAGGAGGAGGGGATCGAACCGCAAACCTTCTGATTATAGTGGGAATAATATACAATTTGCTCTACCTCCTGAGACACAGCCGGCGGTAATCAGTCACCATAGAAACCGTCGATGAGGACAGCAGTTCATACTCAGGCGGCTCTGTGCTGTTATTATTACTGTAACTGTTCAGTTATTGTAGTCAGGTTTTATTCATGCAAATGATTTTGTGTTTATTTATATTAAACTTTAAACTGACTTTAATGTTGTCGACTGTATTTTTTAAAAATTTATTTTCTCGTCCTTCAGTTAACGTTTCCCAACATGAGGGTCAAAGCTTCACTTTAACAGGAAAGACTTTAAATATGCAGCAGGTGTATATCAGCATTCACAGAGTTCACTGTCTGATAAACAGCCTCGTCCTGCATGAGGAATATTATAGAAACACACAATACAGAGAATCTCTGGTTTTACACAAACTTCCTGCAGTTACTGAGTTCACTGTTTGTGTTCATTGTTCAGTTTATCAGCTGTTAGAGGTGTGTGTGTGTGTATGTTATTAATGAACAGCACACACACACACTGTGCTCCCGCTGTGTCAGTAAGAGAGTATGTTCCTACAGTGAGTTCTGTGTGGATAATGAATGACTCCCATCCTCCTCCTCCTCCTCCTCAGCAGATACATAATTCAATCTCTGCTTTGGGGACAGAAATAACCTTCAACATCACACTCTGCTCTGCTTCCTTCTGACCGGACAGCTGGAAACATCTGCATCTGGTTGGAAGATCACATCAGCGCCGTCAATCCGAGTCAGTCTGAGTCAGTCTGAGTCAGTCTGACAGCGAGTACAGACCGGCTGCTGGGAGTCTTTCTTTAGTGGAAACCTGTCGTCACCCGTCGGTTTGTGGAGAACGGTTTTGAAGTCTTCAATTTGCCGTCATGGTCGTCGCCATGACAGTTAGTCGGAGCCAGCAGAGGTGACTGCTCTCATTGGCTGATCAGTTTCAACTTGTCTGTAGCAGAAAACAATGACTCTTCTGGTCACACACTATCTCGTATTCCAGATAAACAGTACATGGTTTAGTTTGCACACTGACGCTAGGTACGGTGGACCGTGAGGGTCACATTAGCCTGAGCTGATACACATTAAAACAAACACACAGCAATATAAAGCTGGCTAAACTGTGACTGCAAATAATTTTCCAGCCAAACACAAAATCTACCGCCATTTGGCTCTTGGCAGGTGTTAATTCTGTACTCTGAGTGTAAATGAGTCTTCAATCTCATCTGGATTTCATCCTGTTTTGACACTTGAAAATACAAGTGAAAATGGGCTGTTGATGCATTAACACCTTAACTCTGGATATATTAGCACATTTTACTTCAGTAAAGCTGATATTCTTTCACCGACTCTGACTTCACAAAAATATTTAAACACGTCCTCCGTCGCTGGTCGTGGCTCTCCGCCCCGCAGTAATCTGCTGCTCTCATGTCTAAATATAGCAGAGTAATCTGTGGCATAATCTGGCATATTTGTATTCCCACATGGCCCTGTGACTGTCCAGCAGATAAGGAGGCCTGCAGGAACAACAGGGGTTACCCAGCGTTCACCAGATAATGAAACACAAACAGACAGACAAACAGACAGAGAGACAAGGTGGGGCGGCTACAAAAGCACAAACATCCTCATCCTCTCTGAAGAAAATTTCCTCACTTTAATCAGAGTGAACACTCCGGTTTCAGTGGGGGAAGCGCCAGGCTACCGCTACGGGCCATAGGGGGGGCGGGAAAGAGGGGGTGTTGGTTGGTGACGGAAGCTAAAACCACCTCCACGACCTGCCTCCAGGGTGCAGGTTTCAACCAGCAGAGGGAGGTTAGATATTTATAACACATTATGTAGAACAGCACTATTAAATACCCATTCTTTAGGTTTTCCAATCAGTCTCGTCCAGCGAACAGCATGTTGTGATCTCTTACACAACAGTAACCAGTGAGAGTAAAGATGAGAGACCAGCTGAGCTCTGTGGGAAACATCAGGAACTACGACTGAGCGGCTCACACTGATAAAATGTGTTCACACACACACACACACACTCGTGCACGTGTCAGGATGTGTGCTGGTGTCACGTGTGAGGCAGCGAGGTAAACCGTGTGCTTCTGTTCAGCTGCACCTCCGCAGCAAACACAGACGCTGCATTCAAGTCACAAGTCGAAAAATCGAGTGCTGGTTGTTGCGATTACCTGTTACACCTCCTCCATCCAGGTCCGACTGTGCAGGTTCAGCCCAAAATAAACCAAAACTTTAATCCTAAAACCAAGTCTGAACCTTACACACACACCTGCACCGACCTCTGCAGGACCAGCTGGGGAGGAAAAACAAATAGTCTCTTCCAAGAACTGCTGCTGGGGCTCGTAGAGGGGGGACAGGGGCCAGTCTCAGTCACCTTTACTTGAGATCACATTGTCAGGTCGTACGATGGTGAGCCTTTGTTTCCTTCTCTTCAGATCTTGTGGTTTATTGTGTTTGTTGTAAAAGCAGTTCTGAGGGGAAGAAGAAATCTTGGGTTCACAGCAGGGCTGTTTCCAGGCCTCTGACTTATGCAGGGTGGTATGAAGTTTGTGTCTCAGCTTTCCATTCATTCCCACTTTATGGGATTCTAATACTGTTCATGGCCCCCAGTCTGCAGAGATATTCAAATACACTACAATAACACATTTATACCACATGCATTTGGGATCATTGCAGCCCTAAAATACCAGATTTCACAGCAGCTTTTCTAAAGAACTGTAATGCATGTTTCAATGTTTTCAGATTTTGATGTTTTTGCAATCAAATTGTGTGAGAAAGACAAAAACAAAACAGTAATGATTGTCTGTCTCGTACTCGAGCGAAAGAACATAGAACCCACTTTCATTCACAGATCTTGAAGTCAGAGGAAAAAATGGCTGTGCCAGTTTTTCCATCACTAAAATAAACCCTAAATTTGGAGCGTTATTTAGCTTCCTTCCAAACATGGTTGGTGCCAATGTCCCAGACCCTAGTTTATACACTGTTTATTGATTAGTGGTTATTGATTGAATATAGAACATAGCTCTAGAGTTTATACACTGTTTATTGATTATAGATTATTGATTGAATCAGCTACATATAGATTTCTACACTGTTTAATGAGGACATATATGAAATATTTAAATAGAAACCAGTTTGAGGTGCCTTTCTTGTTCTTCTGTGTTAATTAAGACACCCACAGTTGTGTTACATAACGCTCTGTCTTGACAGATGAAGAAAAAAACTGAATTGCAGTCGAGATTTTCTGGGAATTATGACTTCATTTTAGGTTATTGATTGTTAAAAATCTTATTATAGCTCAGTTTCCTGCAGAAAGAGGAAACGCACTAAATGACTGCTTTTCATCCTCGACGTATCTGCAGCTCTTCAGCACAGAGACATGAATGGAGATATATTCACAGTTTTTATGTTTTCACAAGGTTAATCTGCCCACGTTTTCCATCTCCTCTGATCACCTCGTCACAGCCCACTCACAGCACACAGCCGAGAGGAGAGTCCATTAGCAGGTCAGGGCTGAACTCTCAATGAGGGAATTAAAACCTGCGAGCGGGCTGTGTCTAATAGGAAACGGGTTTTATTTCCATGCTTTAATAGTTGCTGTTTATCACCTGACAGTCTCCTTGTTGTCACACACAAAAAAAAAATATACACACTTATTAATGGTTTAACTTCAAATATGTCGCCCTCTGCTGGCTGCAGCTTGTCACTGCAGCATCTGAGGGACATTTAAATAAAATATGAACAAATTATTGATAGTTTAAAAATACATATCAGTAGTAAAATGTATTATTTAATACTGAATAACAGTTCATACTTAAAATTATGAATGTACACCGTACATTCATAATTGTATCTATTTGTTATGAATGTACACCGTACATTCATAATTTTATCTATTTGTTTACAACGAATAATTCATTCATTAATATTTTTATTTAATTTCTTTGTATTTATTCTTCTATTTTCTTGTGTTGCTGATTATTTATTGACTTCCTTTTTTTGCCAAACTGCTTCTCCTAATTCTCCTCTTACTGTGATATCATAATAACTATTATTATTTAATTTAGATTTGAGTATTTGGTTGAATCTGTTAAAAGAAAGAAATAAATAAAGAGAGAAACAAAATGAGAACAGAATGAAAAGACTTCGATATCAGCAGGTTTTTGGATATGAACAAACGGTCTAATGCCGACCGTTTGAAGAAAGATGGAGGACTGAACAAGTCCTCTGCCAGTGGTTGAAATAACTAAAAAAGTAACTAACTGTTACTTTTGTCTTCCTCCAGGCCTCCCGAACTCCAGAAACACTCCCAGCCCCATCGACCCAGACTCCATCCAGGTTCCCGTTGGATACGAGCCCGACCCGGCTGACCTGGCTCTGTCCAGTGTTCCGGGGCAAGAGATGTTCGACCCGCGCAAACGCAAGTTCTCGGCCGAGGAGCTGAAACCACAGCCCATGATCAAGAAAGCTCGCAAGGTCTTCATCCCGGAAGACCTGAAGGTAATTTGGAGTTGGTTCTGACAAGATGAAAGTGGTAATGATGCTGGATGTCTTTTTTATTCTCTTCCAAACGATGACAGACAAGACTGTAAACTATAAATAGGTTAAATACAGTTTCCGTAACAGTAAAACTCTGTCATATTTGATGGCAAAACACTTGCCATAAAAATTGTAATTTAAAGGGAATTTATACAGAAAAAGTCGTTTTTTATATGACAGACTTTAAACGACCACCGTCATGTCTCTGGCAAAAACATATTGAGAGGGAATATCTGGATGTAAGAACTGTTAAAACTTTAGATAAACTGTCAGAACAGGCAAGTTGAACCATTAGCGCTGATTATAATGGACTTAAACCTGCACGGCATGCTGGGATAACACGAGCTGGTGGAAAGGTGCCTTTCCTTCTGCTCTCCTATTGGTCAGGTCCCAGTTTGGGGAGGTTGGATGGGGGTTTGTCCTTCTGGTTAAGAGGCTTATATGAGACCGAATGTTCGTGATCCTCTGTCTCCTCAGCTGGGAGGTCAGGCTGAGAGGATTTGGCTTTTAATTTGTTCGAATAAAAAGTGGATCTGCTGTCCAGTGACGGACGGCTGAAAGCTCATTGTGAAAGCGGCTCTGCGGAGACTTCAGGGCGGCTGTCATCGTTCACTAATGGCTGCAGGCAGAGGTGTGGAAATTTAATGACTTAAGAACTGACTCGACAAAATCAAGCCCAAAGATTAAATAGTAATTTAAAAAGTTTGCAACAAATAATTATATATTTATAAGTAGGCGAGTAAAGGGCCGTTTAAAACCAAAACTATAACAACAACGACAATATGTTTGCGACCACTTTCAGTGTATAAGTCTTTTGAAGTTTACTTTGTTGGCGCAGGATAACGTTTAGTCAACAATAAATGATGTCGCGGTACAAAGCTAACGTTTGCTTACTAATGCGACGCAGCGGCGTCCTTCGCGGCATTCAGCGTTCATTTCAGCGTGTCTGTTCCTGCCACCAGTTAGGCTCCGCCCACAAAAAGGTCAATAATAAAGTCATAATAAAAGTGTCCATCTTCTGTCCTGTTTTTATGTTTGACTTTCTTTGAAGAATTCCCCTTTTTTTTCACGTCTCCTCCCTCTTCCCTTGTGTCCTTCGAGCAGGATGACAAATACTGGGCCAGGCGCAGGAAGAACAACTTGGCAGCCAAGCGGTCCCGGGACGCAAGGCGGCTCAAAGAGAACCAGATCGCCATCCGAGCCGGCTTCCTGGAGAAGGAGAACTCGGCTCTGCGGCAGGAGGTGGCCGAACTGAGGAAAGAGCTGGGACGCACCAAGAACGTCCTGGCCAAGTACGAAGCACAGCACGGACCGCTGTGAGGAACCACACACTCTCTGAGAAGGATGACCCCGCCTCCTCCTGATCCACCAGCGACCCTCCTTTCACTTCTCCGCCACTCGCAGTCCTGATGGCTCGATTCGCGGCAGGTGAACATATACTTTTGGAACATGGAGAAAAACTTAAAGGACCAGTCTGCTGTTATTCTCTATTTTTCTTATTGTCAACAAATCTCACGTTCAGACTGAAACCAACAGCAGTCCGTCTCTCAATACTGTCTGACTTCCTGTCTGCTCATTGGTTCCTACTCACAAATATATAGTGTAAAAATGTCTTATTTTTATCAAACAAACAGGAGGGAACAGGGCATTTGTTGGGGACTATTTTCAGCAGCGGATGAATCCACATTTGGTGCAGCAGCACGGTGTATACATAAACCAGAAGGAAGATGTCCCCTGGTGCAACTTTAGACGTGTTTCCATCAAAATGTGTCGCAAATTTGAACCCAGTTTTGAGTAAATCAGCAAAAGAAAATGTGAATGCTCGTCTCCATTCACCGTTATTATTAGGAGTTGGTTCATCGAGATGAGCGGTAGGTTGAGAGAGGAGAAGGAAACTTTGAATTTTGTTGTTTCCAATCAACCTTTTTCAATATGATGCACATAAACATTCGCTGATAGAAGCACCAGCGTGGCTCACTGGTGTGTTTCTCTGTGGCAGAGGAAGAGGAAGAGGAAGGCTGTGATACACAGTCACTACCTGCTGGTTTGGGATTTGTTGGCAATAACAGAAATCTAGAATATTAACGCACGTTTTATTAGCTTTTATTTTTGGCCCTTCTTTCCGAGCCAGGAGTATTATCAACACGTCTGTGCAGTATTCCTCCCAACTTTTCTGTGGCAACCAGCAACCAGCAGCAGTGTAAAGACGGGCAGTTTGCTCCTGCCCTGAGTCGAGCTCATTATTCAGGATCATTAAACAGACACACACACACACACACACACACACACACACACACACACCTGTGATCCCTCCTCACGGACTCATTTACCCATCTGACGTCTGACCTCCGACCCCTCTTCTCCCAGTGGTATGGTAACAGCACTTTAGAACTACCGACGCCTCGCTCTACACCCACCCCCCACAGACTCCGCCCCCCCACATGTACATACCCGCTCCTGATGTGTACCGCCTCCTGCTGCCGCGCTTCTGTTGGTTTTCTATCAGGGCCGTTTCAAGCCTTTTTTGGGGCCCTAAGCAGTATTTTTATGGATATTTATGGAAATATAAGAAGGAGGATATCAAAGATGCACTCCCTGATTTTGATACAGAACGATAAACATCTTTATTTGTTAGCACCCAAATTTGTTCCTAAAATGTGTTAAAATCTTCAAGTCTGCTATAACAACATCAGAGAGTGTATCTTTAAATACTTCAGTTATGACAAAGACAGTTAAGAGAGGAACCCAAAGAGAGTCTGTTTGTTTATGGGGCCACAACCGACCAGCAACACATTTTAGTGTCAGTGTCTGAATTCAGACTGCAGCTCATGTGATTGTTAATGTGATATTTCCCCTTTATTTCGGTGTCTTCAGTGTCTGTATAATGATTGAGTGTCCTCTTCTGCTGTATCTGTGTTTATGTGTCTGATGATCGTCTATGTGTTCAGATGTGAATCTTGCCATCGGACACACGCTAACATGCAGCGATGTTCAGTCTGAAAAGCTGCTGCCTGCTGGGACATAAAAACAGACAAACTGTAGAAATCTCAGCACTGCTGGAAGTTACAATAATGTAGATCTTCGCTTTTTACACACTGATTTGTTTTTAGTTTACAGCGGTTAATTGTAAGTCAGTATGAAAATCAGCATTATAGCTCATTATAGCACGTCCAAACCATCATCCATTCTTAGTTTGCTCAATCTCACATAACTTTTTAGAAAACACAAAGAACAGTTGATACTCCAAACTAAATAATATTTGGAAACAAGATCTTTTCGATGCTAGCTTGTGCAAACAGGATAAAAAAGTGTTTGTATTGTAAGATCTTCACAGGCTTCCTTCCTGCTGACTGCAGTATATCATAAAGCAGTGGTTCCTAACCTGGGGATCACGAGGCCTTCTTGGTTTTAAGGCGTGCTAGAAATCAGTTTGCTTTAATGGATGGTGGCTGTCGCTACCTGAGGATGAATACAGGTTGAGGAAGGCATGTGCGGGGATTTCTACAGTTATGAACCGGTTGGCACAAACTGAACTGTGACCTGACATGTCGGGTGGCGTCACAGCTCACGTTTTACAATCTTATGCTGCCCATATGTCAGTTTGAACTGTCACTGCCTCGTTCTCTCTGTACTCTGTTTTTGTGGATTTTCCTTTTTTACACACTTCAATCTACTTTGTGTGTTGTGTTGAGGACAAAATGTCAGAAATGTGCTGCTGTTTTTTTGTGCCTGCAGGCTCATTAAACAGTCAGTACTGCAGTTCACCATTACAAAGGAAGGAAACAAATACTTTTTAACAACCTGGTTCTTGTTTCATAAGTGGGCTTTTATTTCAAAAAGAACAAACATAAGACCCAGATTGTCAAAAAAAACTTTAAAGTAAGTTAAGTTAAAGAGTAACTATACCCCCAAAACTTTCTGCTGAAAACCTCTATATGGATATTTACTTACTTACATATTGGACAGTATTTGAATTCTACATATTGTGCTATAAATATTCATATTAGCTTAGCTAGCGTTACAACACAGGTAGCACACAGAAACTTGAATGTGTTTCTAGTGACTGTTAAAGTTAGTTACACTTTAACAAGCTAATACGTGCTGTTGCTGTTTGTCGATCGCTCTCCTCAAACTGGCCAAGAGAATGTCCCTAAAGATTGAACAGGGTTTTCCTTTTAATTCACTATAGAAACCAAACTGTTTCCCTTCAGTGCAATAGATGGTTCTTTATGGCTTTGGCATGAACTTTTATTTTTATTTTTTCTGTCGTATTTTCCAAGGTGCGGCCCCCAGTGGCCGAGTGAGACATGAATGTATATTTGAAACAGTGCGTTGGGTGAGTGGTGTTGTCTTATACTGTGGAATCACTTTAGTACTCTTTACTACAGACCAAAATAATACAGTATATAAAGGATATATTGATATATTAAAGGTTTTAATGTTTATACAGAGATATTCTTCTTGTTTTTTTGTACAGTCTGTTTTCCTACATAGATATTTCCTGTGTATTTTGGAAAGGTAACATGAATATAAGCAGTATATAACACGTATATTCAGAAATATTACCAAAACTGCGTGCCCGACCAGTGTGGGCGATGCATGGGCATTACAGAAATCCTCCACGGTTTGTCTGATCCTCCCTGTGTAGTCGAAATACCTCAAACCCCCCTGACTTTCTTACCCTCCGTCACACCTGTGCAGGTGCAGCTGATTCAGCTCTTGGGTAGTTTTTTGCACCAGGTGCTCTGCTCCTCGCCTTTCATTTGTCAGCGAGGACACAGTCGCCTCCACACAGATACTAACGTACGTATAGTTTCATGGCTATAGAGGAATGTATCCACCCGACCCGAAGCACTTATTTTTTATTTTATTCCTTTTGTCCGCTGTGATTAATCTCTCTCCTGCATCCTGCTGTTCACTTCTCTCTGCTTCTTCAGAGCCTCTGCAGCTCTGTTTGAATCTGTGTTCAAAGATATTTTTCCTATATTTGTCTTTGATTATGTTTCTCATGATCAAAATAAGAATAAATAAATAAAAGTTCAAATCTGTGTCTGTTATTCATTTGTGGGTCACTGAGTTGTCCAGATCATATTCATGTATCATGTTTAAGTTTCCAGGATCAATACTTTTCCAATCTGAGGCACGTCTTCTGCCCTCTGGTGGATTATGTGTGCTCTGCAGGCAGTAACGGGCCACTGAGAGCCACTGTACTGTAAACATTTCTGTGACTTCCTGTTAGATATTATCTATTCTTTGAAGGCTGCTGGAAACTGTCCGACTGACTTTTGTCAGCTCCTCCTCCTCCTCCTCCTGTCTCCTCCTCTCCTCCTCCTCCTCCTCCTCCTCCTCCTCCTCCTCCTCCTCCTCCTCTCCTCCTTCCTCCTCCTCCTCCTCCTCCTTCCTCCTCCTCCTCCTCTCCTCCTCCTCCTCCTCCTCTCCTCCTCCTCCTCCTCCTTCCCTCTCCTCCTGCTGCTGCTGCTGCTCCTGGCTGCTGGCTGCTGCTGCTGCTGCTTCCATCTGATCTGATCACAATCAGCCTCAGTCTTTGGTGTTGCTCCAAAGCCAATCATGACCACCAGGGGGGCATCAACCCCCCTCCTACTGGGAATCACAGGACCACATGAACATAGAGACAAAACAGTTTGAAGTCATTTATTTAAAGTAGAGCTCACTGGGAAGAAAAAGCATCCTCTGCTGACCAGAAATGACACATTTGAGTAAAGTTAGAAATATCATCCTCTCCGTCTCCTGCTGTCAGTCCTCTTCTGTCCATCAGATGTCCTCAGAGTTCCTTTGTCAGTGTTTCTCTCTGCACACCTGAACCTTCAGTCCTCTCCTCTCTGCAACCTTAGACTGCACTGATGTTTCTACCTTGTGCTCGTTCACACCATTCAAAGGTTTAAAGCATTTAAAGATGACAACCACATGACTTCATTTACAGTGATGGAAAGTACATTTTATTCCATTTTTATTGCTGTTAACTTATTTCTACTTCTCAGGAGGGGAAATATTCTACTTTTTACTTTATTGTTTATCTAATAACTTTAGTTACTTTCAGATTCAGATGATGCAAAATATAAAAAGTCTAATAATGATATATTATTACAGATTAAGCTACCCAGCCATATATACATTGATTAAAATAGGATCTAGCTTTATCAACAGCAACATTGAAGTTACAAACTAGTTTTCCAGTCGTGGAAACACCTGGAAGTTGATCTGTGTTGTCCTGGAAAACCTGAATTATATTTGAGCCAGTGGTGTGAATTAATTAAAGTTACAGTTAGAGGAAAACTGCTGTCGGTTTATAAAGACAAAGGAGTGTCCTGTAAATGATGTCCAGCGTTTGTGAGTGCTGCCCTTTAATGTCAAGAAAAACTCCTGGAAAAAGATTTCTTAAAAAAGTGGGGAACCCGGTTTTAATGCAGGAAGTTCTCAAACTTACGGGTCCTCTTCTGGCTGCCATTTTTTATTGTAAAATTATTATTTTGTGTGTGTTTCCTGTTTGTACTCGTACTCGTACTTGTACTTGGCTTTGTGTGTTTTCTGCTGTTAGTTATATAGCCCCGCCCTAATCCCCTGCACCTGTGTCTGATTACGCACACACCTGTAGAGAATATAGTCACTGTGGTTTCTCCCTTCAGTTCCAGTTCATCTTCGTATTTCTAGTCAAGATTCCCTTGTGTTTTTTATGATTTGGTTATTTGATTTTTGCATTTTGCCTTTTGTCCATTCGGATGTTTGCTTGATCATTGGATTTTCTGTGTACTGGACTTTTGAAAGTAAAAAGGAACTGTTTATTTAGCTCAGTCCTGGTGTCTTCAGTTGTTCATTTGAGTTTCTGGCCAAACATGGCGGGCTCAGTAAAAAAAGGAACCGCTTCCTCTGCATATAAAACCATCTATTTCGGTAATTATACACTAATGAAAACATACGTATGAATATTATATTCCATTTCTGACAATGTGACACACTGGACCTTTAAGATAAATTATCTGAATCCTGTTTCCACCACTGAGAACTGTGTATCCATCTCATCCAGTATAAAAAATATCCTCCTGTAAAAATAAAACAGATCCTTTGCACTTCCACCTCATTTTTAACATGTGATATGAATTAATAAGCAAATGACGTAAAAAGAACATGTCCCTGTCCAGATATCTGACCGTCCTGCCAGTTTAACCAGATTAAATCCCAATGAGCACATGTAGGCAACAACATGTACAGCTCTTTTGATTCATTCGGTCTCATATTTTAGCCTCTTTAGCACCCCACTAAGTTGGAATTGTTATTATGTAATACCATTTTCTCAAAGTGAAAGGGAGCAGATCAGGATATTCTGCTAATCCCACGAGTTCAGACCATCACACGGTGACAGCAGAGGGGTTTTTAGTGCTGGTTTAATATCTGGAGAAGTCCATGAAATGCTCTGTGTTGTATGAAAATACAGTATGACTGCATGGGGCAGTCTTAAAGCACCACCCCGCCCTACAGGCTGTCGGTTTGTGCAGAAAATAACATCTGTTGGTCACATAAGCCTAAAAAGGTTGCACTTTTTGTTTTTAGGACAGCTCACATCTGTTTAAACCTTTAAAGTGTTGAAGCTGTTAGAAGAATCTGTCCTTGTATTTACGTCCAAACATCTAATAAGCACTAAATCATTCCAGCTCTGTGTTTGTGGAGTTACTGGATGAGCGTAGCCCTCTGATTTTATTTAGTTTGTGTTCTCTTCTTCTATTGTAATTAGACAAATTTGTATGTATCGTAGCAGTGTTATGTACTTTATTCCCCTATAAAACAGATCTGTGATCCATTTTGGGTTGCGACCATAAGTTTGGGAAACCCTGGGCTACAGTATAGCAGCAGCAATAAACTGTAGTCTCAAACTACACCAGCACTAACATTACGAGCACTGGACTCCCTGACTGGTCCCAGACCAACAGACTGCTCTGCACTGTGTGTTCTGACCCCTTTCTATCAGAAACAGCATTAACTGTTTCAGTAGTTTGAGCTACAGTAGCTCTTCTGTTGGAAGGGACCACACAGGCCAGCCTTCACTCCCCACCCACTGACAGGAGCCATGATAAACCAGATAAGCAGTGTTATTCGGTGTCAGTGCTCACAGTGTTAGGGCTGATCGGTGTGTATCTTAGCCCAGATCATACAGTTGGTTATTAATAGGTGCATTATTTACAGACTAGAGGATGTAGGTGTTCCAGTGAAATTGTTGAATGGTTAGGTTTAAGATAACCCATTGGTCAGGAGATAGGACCTAGACGTGTCTCCAAGAAGAACATGAGGTTTATGTTTGTTAACAGAATATTAAACTGAGGGACATAGGATCCTGGGAACATGATACCCTGGGAACATAGGACCCAAACTCTGGTCTCACCATGTTTTGATGGCTGCCATTATCAGCTTCAAAATGTAGAGTTAAATCTCCTTTTCAAGAAAGCTTAAACAACAAGACACAAGTCTGTATTTGACTTATGTAGTATATAGACATAAACAGTGTATCACCACAACAATATATTCAAATTTTACAGCTTTTATGCAGTTTGTGTTCGGTGTTGAAGAGGACATTAGGTCTCAGATGTTCTTCAGACTTCAAATGTTGCTCTGTTTGCTGCAGCACTTTCACAGGAAAACTAAAAGGTTAGAACCTTTATAGAAAGACTGCTATCAGAAGCCATTGGTAGATTCATTGCATGGGTTTCTTCTTAGGTTCCTATTCAAGCTCGTCATTTCTTTCACACTAGTTTAATTGTCTGAATACACTAAGTCGTAATGGAAGACTTGACGGGTGCTTCTATCAAAAGCACCATACAGCACTGTGGTGGAGTCCCTGATGGTACCACTCGTCACCCAGAAGTCTGGATTACTGATGATGATCTGATGTCACAGACAGACAAACAGATGGGTTTGCTTGTCCAGTTTTTTGTCAGATCTTCAGCGTTGCGTGCTGCGATCTCTGAGCCCCATGTAGGCATCAGATGAGCTGTCAGGTCAGGCCTGAACACGCCGAAATCTCAGCCTGTTGACAACCTGTAGCTTACGCAACCCTCCCTTTGGACAAAAAATTGCACAGGGGAAAAACAAATACATAATACATGCTCCTAATACTCTGTGGTGGTCACCATATAATCCACAAACATGGACTATGGAGGGGGGTGGATAATTGTGCAATTCATATCATGGATGGGATGCAGGCATTGGTGGGTTGCTCAACTGGCTGTGTGCTGTTTTTTTATGTAAGAGGATTTGTGAGGGCCTCTGTGGCACGAGTCCTCTAAAGACTTGGGGTTGGATCATCTGTCTGACAGTGCCAGAGCCAATGAGCAGAGGGGATGGCCTGACGTGGGAGGCGAGAGGCTTTTTGGTCGTGGAGGATTTTGTCATTTCAGGAAGGAAGAGAGATTAAGCCAGTTTGCCAAGTTTGTGCACAGTGCAAATGTGCACAATAACAATTACTTACAATTACTGACATTTAGAAACATAGAATATTCATCTGCCCTGTGCAGTGCCATTCTGACATCAAAAACATACATAAAACATCAGGTACTATTGCTTGAAGAGACACTCACTAATTTTGTCATGGTGTTCCCAAATCCCTATTTCGGGACTGTTGTGGTAAAGAGGGAGCAGAAGGCAAAGCTTTCAATTTACCAGTCAATCTATGTTCCAGCTCAGTTGGAACTGAGCTTTGGGTAGTGACTGAGGGGGGACCAGCCTCAGAGATAGGCTTTTTTCCCTTGACTGTAGAAGAATGAATCTGTTACAGTATCTGCTCCCAGACACGCAATTATTCAGAAATGAAAACTAAATTTATACAGGTGAAAAATAAGTTTTGATGGGCCCATTCATAAGAAAATTAAGAAGTCCCTAACAAATTCCTAAAAACCAAACAACACAAGGCGAACATTGGGGCTTTCAGGGGCCCCTGGGGGTCTGGTGCCCTCTTGCAGTTGTCAACTTTGCCTGGCCACAATATAAAAAGAGAGTTAATCTTTAATTCAAATTATGACAGAAATGAATAGACATTTTAATC